AGCCAGAATTACAGGCATGCGCTACCACGCCCGGCTGATTTATTGATTTATTGTAGAGATAAGGTCTCGCTGCCCAGGCAGGTCTCGAACCCGTGGGCTCAGGCAATCCACTCACCTCAGCCTCCCAAAAGCGCAGAATTACAGGCTGAGCCACCAAGCCCAGCAGCAAACATATTTTTTGGTGGCAAGAGACAGAGGGGGACTGAAGCCAGATTGCAGTGGGCTGAGGAGTGAATAAGTGAGAAAGTAAATATGGACAACTACTTTAAGAGAAAATGAGAAAGAATGAGAAGAATTAGGGTAGTGGCTGAGTGGGATATGGATCTGAGGAAAGATACTGGTTATGGCAAAGACTGAATAAGTATAATAAAGATCATTAAGCTACCTAGATTTTCTCTGTTTTGCTGAATGATTAAAAAGTGGGCCATTGGACAAAGTGAGGTCCAAGGGGAGGCCCAAACTTCACCTGTATGTAAACCACTTATGTGTGCAATACTTAGGCTACTGCAGTCATATTCTGACCTAAAGGGAACCACTGGTCACTCAATCCTGTCTTGTGTACCACATCTTTAAAATAAAAAAAAGGGGAGAAAAAGAAAAAGAAAAATAGATGACCTGGCCATTTATGTAATTTCGTTTATACATTTAGACATTTTTTTTTACCTGTCTGTCTATACATTTGTATAGCTTTTTTAAAAAAAAAAAAGTTTAAAATAATAAAAGCCTAGCTCTATGATTACTAAAAAAAAAAAAAAAAAGGAAAAAAAGAAAAAATTACTTCCCTTGAAAGGAAAATAGTGATTTTTGCATTAAAAATATTTTGTTTCTAATTTGGCACTTGCCAATCTGAGTAAACACTGAGTGCCCCGCCAGGGGTGGTGGCTCACGCCTGTAATCCCAGCACTTTGGGAGGCAGAGGCGAGAGGACTGCCTAAACCCAGGGATTTGAGACCCGCCTGGGCAATTTTGCAAACAAGGTCTCAAAAAAAAAAAAAAAAAAAAATTGAGTGCCTCATTAAAAAAAAAAAAGTGGGCCATTAAAATACAAAACAGAAGGTTATAGGAAAAAATGAATATTCTAATTAGAATATTTTTAACCTAATCAATTAAATAGTTTAATTTCTAAAAAAGTCTAACTAAAAAAATGAAAGAAGCCAGAATATGTCACCCATAATATGCCTCTTTGACATAAAAATTATTTTTTTAGCTAAAGGCAATCAAGAAGCAACAAACTGAGGGAAAGAAAGCTCTCTCTCTCTTCCCCACTTTCTGCCTAAAGAACAGAAAGTAAATTCTCCTACTGGAGGCAACTCTGAACTCAGGCCAGAGATAGAACCCAGAGGAATCTGCAAACAAATCTGACTCCATTAGTTTTCTACTGTATGTTTACCTTCTAAAATCCCTTTTCTTTGTGCTATCATTTCTTTATTCATTTATTGCTCTTTGTTGAAGATGGAGTTCTAGGCCATTCTGAGTTAATTTTCACTGAGGTTTCTCCCTCATGGTGTGCTGTATACACTAATAAACTTGTTTTTTCTTCTAAATCTATCTTTTGTTACAGGGGTCCATCCTAAGAACTAAGATGGATAGAAGTAAAGTTTAGCTTCCCCTACAGAAACAAAACCCAACATGTAAAATCACAATGCTACATAAACCATTGCCAACCAATGTGAGTTATTTGGTCTAAGAAATTTTTTATATCACTGAATATAAAAACCGCATTATCCTTTAAAATTTGTGTGCTTAACAAAAAAGTCAAATCAAATCAAAGTAAATGTTTCTATCTATTCTCTTTAAAATGTACTTAAAAACAGCACTCAAAAATAGCAGTCAATACCTAGCTCCAGGATGGTTTGTTGAAGATTGGTTCTGCATCAGTAATTTTCTTTTCTCTTTGTCCAGTTCTGCCAAGATTGCGACTCTATTTTTGTTTTGAAAACCTAAAAAAAGAGTGGAATAAGGGAAAAGAAAGAAAGGATTTTTTAAAAAAAACCATTTCAGATGTATTTTATAAACCTAGGTCATAGAACCGAGCAATCAAAATCCCTGTTCCCTAGCATGATAATAAACTCACTAGTAAGTACTTTCCCTAACTGATTACTTTTCCCCTCCTGCCTATTCCCCAGCAATTTTAACAGCTTAATACATAGATATATATGCAAAGTGTGTAATATTATATTATATTTAAAGTATAATACTGACTGAGGACTTTTAAGACTTAGTTCTCACCAGATGCAGTGGCTCCCGCCTGTAATCCCAGCATTTTGGGAGGTGGAGGCAAGGATTGCCTGAGTCCAGGGGTTCAAGACCAGCCTGAGCAACTTGGTGAGACCTCCTCTCTACAATAAATTTAAAAAAAATTAGCTGGGCATGGTGGTAGTGCACACCTGTAGTCCCAGCTACTTGTTAGGCTGAGGTGGAAGGAATGCCTGAGCCCAGCAGGTCAAGGCTGCAGTAGCTGTGAGTATGCCACTGCACTCCAACCTGGGCAACACAGTGAGACTCCAACTTGGGGGGAAAAAAAAGACTTAGTTCTAAAGAATTTTAATCATCAAGGTATAAGGTACAGCATTTTTTTTTTAAACAAAATCTCTGAGGCCCCAATTGCTATAGGCACCAATCTCTATCTTGCACAATTTGGGGGAGTGCAGAATTTCTTGGTCCTCAACTTTTTAGACCTCTTTGAGTGTAGGATTGAGTGGTAGGATGCACACTTCCTCCTCTCCTTGGGAGCGGGCAGAGATCAGCTGTTGGTGTAGGCTATACAAGGAGTATTCACACTAAGATCGGAATGAACTAGAAGCAGCTGAGATTTGCAATGTTTTCAACTAAACCTGCTCTTAAATCAGGCATCAGCATACTGGCCATAGCCTACACCAACAGCTTTCCCTGGCAGTGTCATGCTGCTGCCAAACCCTTCTTATAGTATTATGATAAATGCTCAAGGGAACAGTCACCACTGGCAGCACATTTCAGTGACACAGAATGGGTTGCAAAACTTGCTTAACATATTCAACCTACTCAACAAACTCAATCTGTTACTTCAGGGAAGAACAACAACTGAGTTCAAGTCAGCAGATAAAGTGGCTACCATTCAAAGCCAACTGGAATTATGGGGGCAAGGAGTGAACATTGGGATTTTTGACATGTTTCAAACATGGGCAGAGATTTTGAAAGAGACTAAGCCAGGGCCTTCTTTCTCCCAGCTGGCACATGATAACCTATCTCAGCTTTTGAGTTTGAGCAATTACTTCCCAACCACAAAAGACCCCCACACTAGGAAGGAATAGATCCACAACCCATTTCTGAATAAGCCAGGTGAATCGACTTTGTACTAGAAGAGGATCAACTGCTTGAGATCACAAATGACACTGGCCTTAAAAGTATGTTTGAGACAACTTTAAATCGCCATACGTTCTGAATTAAAATCAAGGCAGAATGTCCTGAGATTGCCACAAAAGCACTAAAGAGCCTGCTTCCAGTTCCAACATCCTATCTTTGTGCAGCAAGGTTTTCTGCAGTGACAGCAACCAAAACAAGACTGCAGAGTAGTCTAGATATAAGCAATACACTTTGGGTGTTACTGTCTCACATCACCCACAGATGGGACCATCTAGTTGCAGGAAAACAAGCTTAGAGCTCCCACAGAGTCTGCATTATGGTGAGCTGTATAATTATTTCATTATATATTACAATGTAATAATAATAAAGTGCATAATAAATAATGCACTTGAATCATTCCAAACCATCCTCTCATTCCCCGTGCCGGCTCCGTGGAAAAAAATGTCTTCCATGGCCAGGCTCAGTGACTCAGTCTGTAATCCCAGCACTTTGGGAGGTCAAGTTGAGTGGATTGCCTGAGCCCGTGGGTTTTCCTGCCGGGCAACTTGGCGAGACCTTGTCTCTACAATAAATCAAAAATTAGCCACATGTGGTAGCACATGCCTGTAGTTCCAGCTACTTGAAAGGCTGAGGTGGAAGAATCGCCTGAGCCAGCAGGTCGATGCTGGGGTGGATGTGAGTGTTCCACTGCACTCCAGCCTGGGTGACGGAGTGAGACTCCAACTCCAAAAAAAATTTTTTTTCCACAAAACCAGTCCCTAATGCCAAAAAGTTGGGACTGATGCTATAACTCAATTCTGACAATATCTACCTAGAACAGTGTCTGGTCTCATAAATTGAAGAGTTCAGTTCCACAGGTCTGCTCCCCACTTCAGACACTAATGGTAAGTATGTAGTAGGTTTTCACCTATACTTCTGTTTGGCTATAAACTGGGGCTCCTACAACCCTTGGGTTTAGTTAGTTTACTAGATTAGCTCACAGAACCCAGGGAAACTCACTTTATTTATATTTATTAACAAAGGATATTACAAAGTTTAAAGATGAACAGCCAGATGAAAAGATGGATAAGGCAAGACATGTGAGAAGGGGCAAGAGCTTCAATTCCCTTTCTGGCATGCCATCCTCAAGGTCTCTTCAATATGTTCAGCTATCAAGAAGCTCATCTAAACCTATTCTTTTTGGAGTCTTATGGAGGTTTCATTACATAGGCATGACTAACTAAATCATTGGCCATTGGTGATTAACTCAACCTTCAGCCTCTCTCCCCTCCCCAGAGGTCAGTGGGTAGGGCTGAAAGTTCCAACCCTCTAATCACAGACTTCTGCAGACTTCAATAATGCTTGAATTTCAGACTACAGTATTCTTTTCATTGATTTTCTGAATTGCTAGCTATCTTAATATCTGAGACATCTGTTAGAAAATTATTTCTTGTTTATATTAGTATTTACGTAAAAATGATTCTTGGCTGGATACAGTGGCTCATGGCTATAATCTCAGCACTTTGGAAAGTGGAGGCAAGCAGACTGTCTGAATCCAGGAGTTTGAGACCAGCCTGGCAACATGGCGAGAACTCATCTATACAATAAATAAACGAAATTATCCAGGCGTTGTGCCACACACCTGTAGTCCCAGCTGCTTGGGAGGCTGAAGCAGAAGGATCACTTGGGCTCAGGAGGCCGAGGCTACTGTGAGCTGTGTTTATGCCACTGCACTCCAGCCTGAGCAACAGAGTGAGACTCCAACTCAAATACATATATATCAAACTTGATCATAAATAAGTACAGGATAAAAAATAATATAGGTACGGTTCAGTACTATCCTTGATTTCTGGTATCCACTGGCGGTCTTGGAAAGTATCCCCCATGGATAAGGGAGGACATCTGTAGATATCTATCACATAATACTAAACAAGTAAAATGGGGTAACAACCCTCAAAACTTTATCCATTAGAAGTTTATGTTGAACGTACCTTTCAACTTAGTATCAGCTACTTGGTCAGCCATGTGAATTCTGACCGGGTAGTCTAATTACTTTACATCAGAGCTTCCCAAACTTTCTCCATTCACAGTACTCCCTTAGTATCTCAGTAATTTTTGTAAGGCACCCCAGGCTAACAGAAATACCTAAGAGTTCTATCTAGTAAGTAGTTAGGTTCAAACCTGTAAGTATTGATGCCCTAACAGCTTGTAGTTGGTTTTGTTTTGTTTTTTTTTGAGTTGGAATCTCACTCTGTTGCTCAGACTGGAGTGCAGTGACCGCTCCCGGCCACCACAGCCTCGACCTGCTGGTGTCCGGTGATCCTTCCGCCTCAGACTTCCAAGTAGCTGAAACTACAGGCGCGTACTACCATGCCCAGCTAATTTTTTTGATTTATTGTAGAGATGAGGTCTCGCCAAGTTGCCCAGGCGGACCTCGAACCTGCAGGCTCAGGCAATCCACTCACCTCAGCCTCCCAAAGCGTAGGATTACAGGCTGAGCCACCAAGCCCGGCTAATTTTTAAAAATACACATAAATTAAAAGAAAAAATACTTAATTTCATTTTTAAATAACCACAATTACTTAAAGGTTGTGTGCCTGGACACCATATAATTTTCCACACTGATTCTTCACATGGTACTTGTTTGTTATCAAAGCAACAGCCAAAACCCCAACTTCACAAAGATATGTTGCTGAGAGATGTATAGTTCATTATTGAAACTGTAAACTACCTCAAGCTACTTCATGTGGTATCCAACAAATATAAGTATTGCTATTTCCTCTGAAAACTCAATTTTCCATGAGGCCTCTGATATTTCTCTGTGGTGTCCTAGGGGGTCATGGTATACTGCTGGCAAGCCAAGCTTTAGACCTTTAGTTCAACAACTACCAGAGCAACTAAATGACAATTTTTCTTTTATCAGGGCAATTTACAAATAAGGTATTGTATAAATAAAGGGTATAATAAAATACCTTCTGACAATTAAATAACCTTTTATGGATTTAGAGACCTCTCTCTAATAAGGATGACCATCACAAACCATAAATATCAACTCGTGTTTACATATTAAGGGATATTATGTAAACATAATAACAACTACTGTAAGAGAACCTTTATGTGTTAAGTTTAAACATATTAAATTGTTTATACTCGACTATTTTCTACCTACAAAAATAATAATTTCAAGCTGGGCATGATGGCTTATGTCTGTAATCCCAGCACTTTGGGAGGCGAAGGTGAGAGGATGGCATGAGTCCACAGGTTCAAGACCAACCTGGGCAACTTGGCAAGACCTCATCTCCACAATAAATCAAAAATGAGCCGGGCGTGGTAGCACGCACCTGTGGTTCCAGCTACTTGGAAGGCTGAGGTGGAAGGTTCATCTGAGTCCAGCAGGTTGAGGCTGCAGTGGCCATGAGCGTGCCACTGCACACCAGCCTGGGTGACAATGAGACTCCAACTCGAAAATAAATAAACAAATAAACAAATAAATAACAATTTCATATGATTCACCAACTTTGTTTAAAATAACATACTTATATATCTTGCTTGGCTTGTGGAGAAGGAAGAACCTGATTTTTAAAATTTCATGCCTGTTTGACAATTAGAGCATAGTCAA